TAATCAATAACAATGAAAATGAAAATTAAATTAACGAAAACAATCAAAAGACTAGCCTTGGTCTAAGTCCACATCCACCGTCGGAAATCCACAATTGATCATAGATGTAATAATAATTCAATTCATATTTTAAATATTCATCGTTGGAATTGATTCCTATTTCTCCTTAATTTTAGTTAATTAGAAACCAGCGTTTTAATTAACCCTAATTATTAAATAATCACATACCAGCGCTCAAGATTCAATTTAATAACAGCTTTACACATTAGAGAAATCGATGAACTAGATAACACAAACACCAGCGGTTGTATTCAATCTATTTAAACATTCTTCTTAAGATTCAATAACCTCTNTCTATCACAGAAAATCGTCAAATCCTAGTACTTCACAAGTTAAAGGGATCAAACAATTACGAATTTGATATTTAATTTAGCGGTAGATTGTAACGAATAATAAATTAGTAGGTCTCCTAGCAATTAAACATAACAATCATAAAAATAAGTGCAGAAAAATATTCAATACGCAAAATAAGAATTAAACAATAAGAAAAATTATTTAGATCTCACAATATGTGGTTCCGAGGGTTCAATTTCCTTCGATCAAGTGTAAAAATTTAGTTACAATTCATGAATCTAAGAGGAAAATAATGAAAAATGGAGTTTGGAGGCGTTCTGTACATTCTCTCATCGTTTTAGGGTTTTAAAATATATATTTATAGTTGTTTCCATAGATAGTTGACTTAAATTCGGAAACTGGAGATTCGTCTGTGAAAAATACCTTTGCACGTACGCCATACATTTCCTTGCCCGCGCACCGTTCATTGGTTTTAGGCTCGATAAGTAAAATTCATGCCCGTGCGCGCGTGAGAGAATTTGCCTACGCGCGTGCAAGTTTGTCTCTGAACATCGTTCAATATTTTGGTCATAACTTTGTCCATAGGTATCCGATTGAGTTGATTTAAAAGGTGTTGGAAAGATAACTCAAAATGATACAACTTTACTTTAGATACTATCTCCCAATTCGATCGTTTACCATGTCAAAAATGGGTCTCAAACTGAAACTAAAAATCCGATGCATAACTTTTCGATTGGAAATTGATGTGTGATCCTACTTTGACGATATTTCACCCATTTGACTTCTTTTTTTCATTCAATTGATTTCTAACACTCTCAAATATTCATTGTGAGGTTCAACATGACTTTTGAGTATTTGCGCTTTAGTCCTCGAACTTTCGATTTCTTTCATTTTGTTCTTTTTCCACTCATTTCTTCCAAATTACGCTATATCCATCAAATTGCCACATAA